AAGGTCCCCAAGTTTCTCTGATTCAGTTTCTCACACATCATGGTTCTTTCTCTGCAGATGATGCCTCCCTCCTGTTGAGCGGAAGAGCCCTCTTTCCCTGTGGAGTATATCATAACTGGGGCTCACATACTAAGGAATCTGGGGCAAGACAGTCATAGCAAGATGTCACCCCCTTTCTTTTACCCACTAAAATGCTTTGCCCTGAGATCAAGGAGGGAAAATCAAGATTAGCCTCACCACCAGGGAGTCACTGTCCAAACATTTACTGACTCAACTAATCTTTAGAAATGTTAGCTTTCATTGTGGTTGTTATTCCAATGTCATGGGCAGAGGACTGCATTCCAAACACAACATCAGGAAACACTGGATCCCCACCCCCCACTCCCACCCCCCGGCCCCGCCCCTGCCTTCCCCTGGCTGCTCCTTCCTGAAAGAAGCTTGGCCTCCCTTTGTCCTTTTGTATTAATGGACTTTCTCTAATGATCTCCTTCTAGATGGTTCCCATTCTGGCTGATCTTTAGGACACACTTGGGGAGGAGGGCGCTCCTTTCAAATCACCTTTCTGCCAACAGGTTTCCAATCCAATTCAAGGCCACATCCTGGGCATCTGGTTTCTGTAGCTCAAAGAATTACTGTTCCTGATAAATTGCTCTGAGTTCCAAGGCTACTGCTGTCATATTGCATTCTCTAAGCATTTTCCAGGTCCCCCCAATACATGCTTACACACACACACACACACACACACACACACACTCCTTAACTTATTGGACTCCATTCTCACTTGCATTCGGGTAAGTTCTATGACAAAACACACAGGAGAGAGAACTAAGCTAGCACAGTAGTTAGAGATGCTCAAAAAAAAGAAAAGAAAAGAAAAGAAAAGAAAAGAAAAGAAAAGGGAAGAAAAGAGAAGAAAAGAAATGAAAAGAAAAGAAAAGAAGAGAAGAGAAGAGAAGAGAAAAGAAAAGAAAAGAAAAGAAAAGAAAAGAAAAGAAAAGAAAAGAAAAGAAAAGAAAAGAAAAGAAAAGAAAAATCTGCATTGGATGGAAAGCTTTACAGCCCTGGGAGTGAGGGGTGGAGGTGGGCATTACATCTGCATGCCTCTGTGGCTTCTCACAGAGATGAGCAGTGGCAGAGTCTGGCCTAAGGGGTGAAAGTAAGGGAGAGACCCACTTTACATTGCTCAACAGTTGGTTTCTTGGGGGGAGAGAGTGAGTAGTGAGCTCCCCATTGTAGAGGCCGCTTTTAGGCCAACAGCCTAGGCCAACAGGCTTGACCAATGGTATGGAGAAAGGGCCCACAGAGACCCTCTGGATGAATATAGACAGGCCCATCAGGTGACCCACCTCAAAATATCCATAGCCCCTCACTGACCAGTGGGCACAGTTACCAAAAAGGGGAAATTCCATATGTGGTCATACTTCCTCACTGTCCCTCTTTAAAAACAGCTTGGTCCGCTGCCTCCTTGCAGCCTCTCCTCTGTTTGTCCTGTCTTCTATCTCCTATGCTCTGCTTCAGGTGGGTTCTTTTCACCTCCCACACCACTGAGGGTCACCCAATCATCATCCTACATTTGGGGAACCTCATGTGATCGGGGCAGACATGCCATGTAGACACCACGCTCATTTCCAGACAAGCACAAGTGGAGTCCTCCAGCCACTCAATGAGGGGGGGCTCTGTAGAAAAGAATTAAGCCTCAAACAGGCAGGTCTTCAGCGTCCCTGCCAACCCTGGGACTTTATGAGACCCTCTGAGGAAGAAATAAGGGAGAAGAAGAAAGAAAAAGAGAACAGAGAATAAAGATGGGAACGAAATGAAAATCGAATTTAAAAAGAGATGGGAAGGAAGGCCAGAGGCTGGAAACCATTCTGCCCGTGCACCGACCATTAGTACAGAAAGAAGCTGGTAAGAGCCTAAGGGGGGCTGGTATCCTGATGGGCAGAGTGTCACGGAGCCCTGGTCCTCCACCTCCAGCACCCATCTAGTCCCATCCTGAGAGCCGAGACTTTGGGCCTGGCCTTGCCCTGAGAGCACAAGGCCCAGCCATGCTGCAATATATTCATCCAGTAGGAAGCCTGGCCCAGGACAAAGGAGGGGCAGAACCCTCCGCAACTCTGCACCTCCCCTGGGGCACTAAGGATCCGAGGAGATCTGCAGGAAACCCCCCAATCCTTAGACAGTGAAGGCAGGAAGGATCTCTTCTTTCCCCTCTCCCTCCATACTCGTGACCAGAGGATTGGGTTAGACCCAAACTGCTAAGCACTCGCTCACCCACCCAGGCAGGTCTCTGCCAAATGCTATCAATGTGGGTGGATTCTTGAACCAGTTATAGAAATTGGGCCAGTCCCTGCCCCCTGCTAGAAGGCAGTGTTTTCAAGTAGAACAAAGCTTTCACAATGAAAGATTGTGTTTCTGAGCGGTGTCCCTGGCACAGTGGGGTGAGGTGCAGGGCCTCACTCTCAGAGAGGAATTTTTCTTAGACACAGGTTTGCCAGTCTGAGCGGGCAGTCAGGGCTCTGGCCCTGGGAAGTTTCACAGCCTCAGCCTTGGCCAGGAGACAGGCTAGGGTAGGAGACAGTGTGTCTGGACCTGGGCCCAGTCCCCAGCCTAGACTGCAGTTAGGAAGACTTCATACTCACAGAGCGGGTAAGGGAGGAAAAGAGATTGGACGTGGATTTGGGGTGAGGATTCAGCTGAAACACACAGTCAGCCCAACACCAGCACTGGACTGTAGGTCGGTCAGAAGCACAGCACCCATTCTCCATCCCTCTGTTTCTTCTCCGGTTTTCCATGCCAGAAGCCTCACTTCTAGGACTATAACATCAGTGTGTTCTCAACCCTGATTCTACATGTGTACCTGCCTCAACCCGCCCCTCGAGAGACTCACAGACCTTGTCAGTTACCCATCGTTGGCTGAGCACCTCCTCCCCAAACACATGTGCACCCACAGGCACGCCCTTGGAAATGCACACACTCCACTAAGAGGTGCCAGCTTGTCCTGTGCAACCAATCTTGCCAGGTTTCCCCCTTTTCTGCTCTCCACCATTTGCCTGCTCTGTAGTTTGTATTTGTGACCTCTTTTGTGCAAGCCACAGCAGTCTTGCCCCTATGAATGCCCCCACTGGCTTCCCGGAGAACTGAGGGACTGGGGTTGAGACAGAAAGGAGCTGGTCCTCTCTCTCACAGCCACACCCCATCCTAGTAAAAGTGTCAACCCAAGGAAGATTTTGCACCGACACAACACACTCATGCACAAGCCAGGAGCTTCCACCCGTTCAGTCTGCAGAGACCCACCCCTCCCTCCCCTCGCAAGCCCCCTCCACTCATCTCCAGCCTCCCCCATCCCACGTGGTTTGTCCCCCTCCATACCGGAGTGGGAGGCAGCAAGGAAGAGCAGGCGCCGTGTGTAAACACCTGGCAAAATCACAGGACAGTCAAACCGACAGGCAATCACACAAAGGATCCCAATGAGAGGATCCTGGGGCCCCTTGCTTCTGCGCTTTCCTCCAGCACCCTCCGGGCTTCCTTCCACTGACCCCCCCCGCCCCCCCCCCCCGACAAAGAGTCACCAAGCCCAGTTCAAATCGATTGTTTTATTGACGGTTTACATACAGACGTCTTTAGAAAAGGGCGCGGGCTCCAGCGAGGCTCCTCCGCTCGCCCGGGCCCGCACTTGTGCTGCGCTTCATGGACACGGGCGCTCCCGACGCCCGAAACGCCCTCCCAACCCCAATCTCAACGTTTTCCTTCAAGAACGAAAAAAAGGGCCCCGCCGCAGTCGCCGCGCCGCGACCACCCTCCCGTCCCCTCCCTCTCCGCCCACCTGCCTGCCCGCCCACCCCCCTACACTACACGGTCACACTTTACAGAACACAGACTTCTCCTACAGAGCACTGTCGTCTAGGACTACGCACCCAGGCAAATACTGTTCCACGAAGGAGGGGCGGGATGGGGAGACTCAGGGGCTTTTCTCCATCCGGATCCCGCTGCACCTTCACACGCAGGCTTTGTGCAAGCGCTTCCGCGAAACCGGGGCCCTGGAGGCTGCAGCGGCTTCCTTCGCCCCCTGCCTCGTCGAACCGAGGTCTGGGCCAAGTGCAGCAGCCGCAGCGGAGCTGTTGAGTGCTCGGATCTCCGAAACCCCCAACTCACCCACAACGAAATTCGCTCGGGACCAAGCCCACACTCTCCGCGTTAAAAGGGAGGGCGGTTCCTGGGCGCTTAAGTAAGCAGAGAGGGAGAGAGAAAACGGATTTCCCCACCCCTTCCTCTCACACACACCTAAGGGGGTGTTAGCACCAGACCCGGAGTGTCGCTGTCTTTGAAAAAAAAAAAAAAAAACCCACGAAAATATGAAAATGAGAGTGCGGAGCTGAAAGGCGCCCCAGGCGCCGGACTGGACTCGAGCTGTTCAGAAGCGGATTGGGAGTGAGGGGACAGCCGGGTTTGTTTCCCAGTCGGAAAGGGGCTTTGAAACTAAAAAGAGGGAGTTGCCACCGAGTCCTGACTTCTGGGACGTGCACTCCGGAAAGGGCAGAGTAGTCCAGGCAGGACCCTACAGCTCTCCACTCAAGGGGTATCTGCTGAGGGTCCCAGGCTGACTCCCCTGCCGCATCGTTACCACGGGGTGTTCCCAGCGTCTTCTCCCCGTCCTCTGGTCCCAGAGTCCACGGTGTGGCAGGCGGCACAGCAGATTCCGCAGGTGACAATTGCGGTGGGAATGGAGAGCCTCGATTTCACTTCACAGTCCGCAGGAAGAGCTAGTAACTGTGCTTGCCGTGGAGTGGAACTGAGCCCGCAAGGACAATGACAGCAGTGGGTGGCCTGGGACTGGTGAGGTCGCCCCACTCCCCACTAGAAGTCCCCAGGAGTGAAGGTTGGGGATGGTAAAGGGGCGGAGTAAGTGAAGGTTGCGGTAGGGGGTGAGGGGTGGGGAGGCTTACCGTCAGCCCTAGGCTTTAGCTCCCAGGCACCCTGGGTGGGGGGTGGGGGTGGGGGCAGATGGGAATGGGTGGGCCAGTCGGGCTGGGGGGTTCAGCCTGCCGTCTGCCTGTAGTTGCCATTAATCTCCTGGGCGATGTTGACGGCCTCGGCGCCTAGGGGCAGCCGATCACTGTACTCGGAGCCAGCCTCGAACTCCTCTTGGTTGGCCTTGGACTGGGACTCCACCAGGGAGCAGGCCGCCAGGCTCTCCTCCCTCTGCAGGTCCCCACCTGGGTCCCCCTGCTCCGCGTCTTCATCAAGGCCCTCCCCGGGAGCCTCCTCGGGCTCCACGACGTCCGCCTCCCCGCCTGCCGGGTAGCTTTTCTCGGACTCGAGGTAGGACGCACGCGGGTCAAAGTCTGCGGCGATGCGTTTCTCCATGGGGTCAGGGGCCTGTGGCCGCAGTATAAGCCGGTAGGGCTTACCCGGGTGTTTGGCGAGCAGATGGCAGCAGGCGGCGCCCAGCAGGGGCACGGTGGCCAGCACCAGGAGGAACACGCTCACCGCCACGATAACCAGTAGGGAGGGCAACTCCTTCTTGGTGGCAAACACCACTTGCACGTGGCAGGCCTCGCCTGCCAGCGCCAGGCACACTGAGTAGTTGGTGCCAGGCCGCAGGCCGCGGAACCAATAGGCGTTGACGCCTTCCTCCACGCGCGACCACTGTACAGCTGCGCCGCCCTCCGCTGGGCACAGGTAGAGCAGGCGCAGCGGCCGCCGCCCCGGCCGCCCGGCTCCCCCGGCCCCGCCGGCCCCGGCTCCCCAGCGCGCCGCCAGCGGCGTCAGCTGCACCCGAGCCTCGCGCTCCGCCACGTCCAGCGCGATGACGCCCAGCTCAAAGACGTGCTGCTTGAGCTCTGCGCTCTGATTGAATGCGTGGTTGGACACGTACCGCGAGGGGTCCCCGTGGCCACAACGTCGCTCCTCCACCGGATCCGTAGAGACCTGGTCTTCTGCCTCCTCCCCCTCACCTGCCTCCTCCTCCTCTGGCCCCGCCTCCTTCTCGCCCAAGACGCTAACCCGGACTAGGCCTGGGCCTTTGATTTTGCCCTCGGGTTTGGAGGGGAGGACGCTGTTGCCCCGGCCTTTGGCTGTGGACTTGCGCTCAGAAGTAGGGGCCTGCCCATCAGAGTCTCCCCCAGGGCCAGGAGCGTGTTTGGGGGGCCCAGAGGCCGCCACTGCCACCCGTAGTGACGTGGAGTTGGCGCCCAGCTCGTTGTAGGCACGGCAGGTGTAGACACCTGCTTCCTTGGCGCTCAGGAGGGGAACCAATAGGGAACCGTTTGTGAGGGCCAGGAAGCGGGGGTTGGCTGGGGGCGCGGGCCAAGCGGGTGCTGGAGTCGGGATTGGGGCCTCAGTCTGCGTTGGCCCGTCCCCATCTCCTTCCTCCTCTCCGTCTTCCGCCCCATCCGCGTCGTCCTCCCCGCTCTGGACCGGAGGCTCTAAGACTACGGTGCCACCCGGGATCTGAAGTTGCCATTGCAGGCGGGGTGTGGGGTGTCCTTCCGCGAAGCAGTGTAGCAGGAGCGCCAGGCCCGCGGGCCAGGGGCTGCCCGGCGCCTCGAGCGGCGGCTCAGCACTCAGACGCACGCTGGGTGGTGCGCAGGACAGGGCGGGCAGGCGGTGCACCGGCACCCCCTGCAGCGCGGGAGGCGAGGCGCACGCTATGGAGTCGGGCTCGGGTAACGAAACCCTGGTGCTTGCGGCCCAGGCCTGCAGCCACAGGAGGCTGCAACCGCAGTGGAAGGGGTTGTGATAGAGTTGCAGATGTGACAGCGCGCTTAGCGCGTCGAAGGTGCCAGGGGCCAGCGTACGAAGGCGGTTGTTGTTGATGCGCAGGGAGCGCAGGTCGGGCAGTGCCCCGAGTGCGTCCCGGGGCAGCGAACCCAAGCGGTTGTGGTTCATTTTGAGCAGCTGCAGCGCGCTCAGGTTACGCAGGTCGTTCCACGGGAAGCTGGATATGAGGTTGTGGCTCAGGTCGAGGTTCTTGAGCTGGCTAAGCACCGCCAACGCGCCCGGCTCCACGGTGCGCACCTCATTGTGCGCCAGCCACAGCGACGTGACCTGCGTGACGTCGGCGAAGGCCCCACGCCGCAGCACGGTGATCTTGTTGGCAGACAGACTAAGCGTGGTCACGTTGGCCGGCAGTCCTTCCGGCACCTCGCGCAGCTCCTTGTAGGCGCAGTCGGCGAACTGGTGTGCGTACTTGTCCACGCAGGCGCACGGCTCTGGGCAAGCTCTGGCCACTCCTAGCAGAGCCCAGGCCAGCCACAGAGCCCGCAAGGGCACCATCGCGGATCCTGCATATGGAAGCCGGGGGAAGAGGGGAGAAGGTGACTTATGAGCCCCGGCTTTCCTCCTGTTTTAAGCTCTGCCTCCCCAAACCCATCAATTGCAACCCTGGGCTGGGGTTCTGGTAATCTTCTCCTCTGTGCCCAGGAGTCTCTCTTGGACACGAATGGGGCTCAATAGAAGTCTCAGGGTTCAGTGCATGCTCTCTCAGGGCCCTGATTTCCTTTTCCAGCGGACTTGTACCTCGCTCCCCACCCCCACCTGCTCTTTTAATCTGGCAGTGTCCCCTCCAGAGGCTCTGTAGCTCACCCATCTGTCTGCTCTGGACTCTGCTCTAGCTCCTGTGTGTGTTTCTAAGGCTTCATTTAACTCCGCAACAAGGATACACAGAGAAGGTAGTTTTGTCCCTGACCTGTCGTCCTTTCCTCCAACTCTTTGTCCCACACACAGCACTCACACACACACCCAGACAGCACACAGCAATACAAACACACGCTGGGGCACCACCATCCAACCACAAACTTTTGTAGGGCTCACAAACACATACCCTAGCACAAACCACAAAGACACCCAGACATGGACACACTATACCCTGGAGACCTCATTGTTGTTTCAGCTGAAACTAGCACCAGTACAGCGTTTTCCCTCACATGATTTCCTGTTCATTGTGTGAGCTGACAGACACAAGGACACAAGTCCTCAGGAGAACTGACCCGGACACAGGTGCGCACTTGCGCACAAAAGCCCTCCACGGAGACTGAAACCCCAGCGGATAGGCAATGCCGAGAACTTGTGGTGGGTGGCAGGAGGTGGGACCCAGGGCAGCGGACTCACACTCCCCCCCACCCCATCAGACACCAGAGCAGCCCCCTCTAGGCTGCAACTCCCTGGAGGGGACAACCAAGGTTACTGTCAACTTCCATCTGAGGAAGGAGGTCCTCCCCCAGACAGGGACCTTGAGCATTGAGGTGGATGTCACTAAAGATTCCCTTTCCCATCCCCGAAGAACGCAGGTGAGGGGTCTCCCAGAGGGCATTGGGGTCCCCAACAGACAGGCCGTGGGGGCAGCCACTAGCTAAGGAAGTAGGAGACCGTGCAGGATTCTGTCCCTTTCCTGCAGCTCCAGGATGCCGGAGCAACCCCTCCCTGCCCAACAAAACCTTTTAATCCTCAGCCACACAAACCCACTTAACCACTGACCCACCCTGCTCCTCGCTGGCTCCCATCTAGGGCTCCGGGCAGATTGCGCAGACCCCCTCCCACCCTCCCGTCTTTGGGAACCCAGGTTCCCCACTCTGCCTTTGCTGTCGAGGATAGGGCTCCTCCCCACCCCTCCGTGGACCCCTGACAGCGCTAGAGGCTCCAACATCCCAGGCAGGATCTACCCACACAGGGGTCGAGGTTGTGGCGCGGCCCCCGAGGCTTACCCGCTGCTGACTCTCTGCGCGCTGCCCTCGGGCTGCAACCCCTTCTCCAGACTTGATGTCTCGGCGCCAGAACGATTGCCCAAGGGCGCTTTCCACATCTGTTGCTGGCTGTGGAGAAGACAAGGGAGGGGCAGAGAAAGGGACAGGTAATTATGGGGACACCCCGGGCCTTGAGGTCCCGCTTCAGTTTTTCCTTTCGCATCTGTCCCCCACCCCCCCACGTCTGTCTGGCCGCAGACTGAAGAGTCCTCGCGCGCTCCCGGGCGCAGCAGGGACGCGCACAGCCTCTTCCGCCTCCCGCATCGCTCACATTTGTTAAAGCCTTAGAGGCTCTCCCCGAGGCTGAGACGCGTTGGTCTCCAGGGGCGCCCCCACACCCATCGCCCTCGTCTGGGCTCTTCCCAGTTCACCGCACACGCCTAACACGTCCCCTCACACATCTGCAGACATTGTCCCTATGCTTAATCACACCGCCGCCCCCCCACCCCCTTCAAACACATTCGTACAGACACACGCAGACCTTCACACCCTCCACACAGTCGACCTTCACATGTTAGAATTTGTCCCTCATCCTGTAATAATAACCGAGTCGATGTGTTGTCCTCCTTACGTTCACACTCATTTCCAAAGGCACGCCTTCACGCGGGACACTCACCCTCTCCCCCTCCCGCGCGCACACACGTCCACGCTCACTCACCCTCACTCGCGGGTCCCGCCAGGGCCGGTGAGCTTCGCTGCTAATTGAACGCGAGCCGCTTTTACGCCCCGCAACACGTGAGACAAACCATCTTTGAGGAATTTGGGGGAAGGCAAGAAGCACGGCTGGGGGTGGGGGGGCGTGTCTTTGCCCTTAAACTCTTTTTGCAAATGCGGGCCGTGGCCAGACAGACCGGGAGTCGAGAGCTGCTGAGCTGCGCGCAGCCGGGCTCGCGCGGACCCTTCCTTCCCGCACTCCCCTCCCCACTAGCAGCCTCCTCCCCGAAGCCACGTTCAACACGATGCATAATTGATAGTGTTAGCAGAGCGCCTCACCCTCCCTGCTATTTTTGCCAGGATCTGGGTGGATACAAGCCCTGGTCTCCCCCGCCCCCCACCAGTCCAACCCGAAGAACAGTCCTGGAACGCAGGACCCCGCGGGGCGCACGGGGAAGCGACGCCGCCGCCCCAGCCCCCGCTACCCTGCCCAGCCTCTTAAGCCCTACTCTTTGAGTCTAGTCTTTTGTGGCTAAACCAGCGCTTGAAGCCCACAGCCCCACTCGCCTGCCTGTGCGCATCGCGGGGTGCGGCTGGAGCGCGGTATCAGCCTCCGCCTCCGCAGAAAGCCGGCCTGGGCGCACCCAAGCGCCTCACCCTGAGGTCTTGCAGGCTACAGGGGAATGGGGCACTGGGGCTGCGGCAGACAGAGGCACCACGAAAGGGATGGTTTACAAAACGTCTGCTCCTCCTGAGCCGAGTGGGCGGTGTACTTGAGGCCCGAGCCCTCTCTCCCCGTCCCTCCCTCGCCAACACCTTCACAGCCTCACCACCAAACGCACCGTCCACCCCACACACGATCCCCCAAAGCCTCCGCGGCCCGCCACCGCCAGCACGTCTCACACCCTCACACAACAGCCGGCCTCAGCAGATTCGAATACTCGCTGTTCCCGACTCTCGCTCCCAGTCTCTGGCGAAACCCCGACATTTCTTTTAGCGACGAGGAGGCGGAGGCGCAGGAATGTCGAGGCATTTGGGTGAAACTCGATGTGTATCTCCCGCACTGCCCATAGCATCCCTGGAGACCGAGTTGCTGGCCAGAATCGGGAAAGAAGAAGGGAAACAGGCTCCCGGAGACACGCACCCCCCCCACCCCGCCGTTTTCCCGGTCCTTTCTGTAGACACAGAGCTCTCAGGGCACGCGAGGTCCCCAAGCCTGCGCCTCGGGCCAGAGGGTTCTCTGGCGGTGGGTCGATGGCGCGGGTTTGGGGCCTCTGAGGAGATCAGTCTCCTGATTTGAGTGTTGAGCATTTTAATGAGCCAGGGAAGTGGGGGAAAGAGGCGCACGAGGAGCGCTGAGGCTAAAGAGACCACCCGACCGGGCGTTCCGAGGATCCTTTGTAAATTAAATATGAACCGACTGGCGCACGCCTGCTCCGCCTCCCTCCCTCTCTCTTACTCCTGCGGCCGCTGCGGGGGGGCCCGGCGGGACCAGCACAGCTCGTTCGGACTAGAATTTAGAACCCAGAACTTCACTCCACCTGCCTGGGCCTGTGATCCCCACAGATGACCTAGGGGGAGGGCACAGGGGACCTCTGAGAGGGGAGGTGTCTTCAAGGAGGGTAGGAGGGTGAGGGCGCCTGGACCCTGCGGTGGGACAGCCCCCTGGTCTGCGGATGAGTCCCTGCTGTTGGGCCAGGGAGTGGCGCGGCCGGCTGGCCAGGCACAACCTCTTTGTCTGCAGAGGAAGGGGGGCGGGTTGGGGATGCCAAGGGGGCGGTTCCGGGAGCCTCGGTCCTAGAAGAGGGGTCTGGGAGGCGCGGACCAGTAGCGGGGATGGAGAGTCAGGCTGGGGATAGCGGGTCCTGGAGACTTCCCCGGGCGGGGGAAGGGGCGCCTGCCCTAGAGGTGGGGACCGAGGCTCCGACTGGGAGGCGCACAGCTTGTAGACCCCCCCCTCCCCAGTTTTCACCTTTTTCTCTGGTTCTTTTTGCCTTCGTCGAGGAGGCGGACAGGTAGGCAGGCGGGCAAGGGACTATTTGGAAGGGTTGATGGACTGGAGGACAGAGACTGGGGAGTAGAAGGGAGAATGGGGTCGCTTATTCTCCGCGGAGAGCTTCCCAGGACCGCAGGGACCCGCCCCTCCAGCGTCCCGGGAACCTACGGGGCCCGCGGGCCAAATAAGACCCCCTTTCCTTGGCTCACTGGCCAGGGATGCAGAACCCGGGGAATTGGGCAGAGAGGCAGAGCTCCAGGGGACAGGAGGGCGGCTAAGGATGTGGTGGCCACCCAGGCGAGGGCGCAGATTCCCGCGGGCCCCTTCGACTCCCGCCCACTCTCCAGCAAGCGCTTTTGTTCCCAGAGCCTAGCCTGGGGAAAAGACAACCCTTACCCCCGCCTTCGACCCCGGAGCGCCCAGGGCCTGCCCTGGCAAAGTCCGCCGAGGCCTGAGGTGGGAGCCACGACTCCAGGATCAGCCTCCGGGCTCAGCTAGGAGAGGACCGCGCGTTTCGCCCGGCGCCGCCCGGGCGCGCAGGAGCAAGTCTGATGTCTATAATGTTAATAATGGTACAGTTACCGAGGGGCTGGGGAACTGGGAGCGAATACACCACCCCCGCCGCCGCCCACGTCTTTGATCGTTAAAGAAACAGGCACCTAATCAGGTGCGTGGAAGTGGATGTGGGTGAAGGAGGGATTTCACGGTTCTAAGCCACCAGAGGGGAGGACCCAGAATCGGAATCTGTAGCATCCGGGCTCAGGCTTTTTGACCAACCAGGCTGGGTCCAGACCCTAGACAGACGCAAGGGCCCAGAGCTCTGGCCCCGGGCAGATTTTTTTTTTTTTTTTTTTTGCAAACGGACTTATAACTTTGACTTTGAGGACCCGGAGGGTCTGGAGGGTGGGGTGGGTTGAAACCCAGTGGATCTCCGCAGTCGCTCCCGAGGCTGGGTGCGCTCTTGGTTTTCTCCCAGGCCTGGTTCGTGAGCGCCCCCTGCTGCACACCGCTGGCCGGGCGCGCAAGCTGGGGCAATGGCTGTTAGGGGCCTGCGCCAGGAGCGCGGAGGCTGGAGCCCCCCTGCGCTAAGACGTGCTCTGTCCCGGGCTCTGTGGTCCCGATGCGCAAGGTGCAGGAGTGCGGGGACGCTTACCCAAGGCACCGAAGCTTTCCTTCTCATGCCCACCCAGTCTACGTCCCAGGAATCTGCACATCACAGGCACAGCCCCCGCTTCGCACCCCATTGTGTTTCTGGCACCCAGGACACAATAGGCACCCTCTGAATACTCCTTTAAGGAATCAGCCCTGGCACGAACCCATGCGCTTAGTTCTCCTGGGAAGAAACCGTCCTGTGCGCCTCTCTCGCCAACAGCGCCCCCCCACCGTCAACACCCCCCCCCCGCCCCCGGGGCGGGGTGAGCGCTGTCTCTCTGAGTCCCGTAGGAGGGCTCTAGAGCACCGTCCTTAAGTCTTGTGACTTCATCTGGGGGCCTAGAATGACCGAGATCTGAAAAAGAAAATCTATTGGCTCTAAGAGGGGAAAGAAAACTACGAAATCGGGAGTAATAGATGTTTAATGAAATGTTCAGGACAGGTAACATTGTGCAAGCGATTCCATTCCAACTGAATTCAGAGTCGTCCGCGCCTCTGCATTTACTGTGGCCTGGGGGTGATTTAACGGATGTGAGAAGTCCTCGGAAAGTCAGAAAGCCAGGGCCCAGAAGGGCATCACAGACCCGCAGCCTAGCGGCCTCAGAGAATCCCTTCCACAGCGACACTCCAGCCAGAGTCTCCAGAACGTTCCGGCTCCCATCTCCCTCCCAACATCTTCTTACCTGTCTTCCCAAGAAGCTGCTTTCTTTTTCCAACTTCCATCAGAAAGCTCACCCTTCTGGGAAGCCAGCTCTGTTTTTTGTTTTTTGTTTTTTTTTAATATTTTATTTATTTCCAGGAGAGAGAGAGAGACAGCGTGAGCAGGGGAGGGTCAGAGAGAGAGGGAGTGACAGACTCTGAAACAGGCTCCAGGTTCTGAGCTGGCAGTCAGCACAGAGCCCGAAGAGGGGCTCGAACCCACAAACCGCGAGATCATGACCTAAGTGAAAGTCGGTCGCTTAACCAACTAAGCCACCCAGGCGCCCCAAGCCAGCTCTGTTTATAACGCCCCCTCCCACCTTCTATCTCTCCTTCCCTTCCTGCACGCTCTGCTCTGCATAGTGGTTAGGAGGAAAAGTATTAGCATCAGACTCCACCACCTACTAGCTCTGTGATCTTGGCCAAGTTACTTAACCTCTCTGTGCCTCAGGAGGAAGAGGGTATAGATAAGACTATCTGTGTTATTGGGTTTCCCTGAGGATTAAATGAGTCAAGGCATGTAGCGCACGGAGTGCCTGGCACTTAGATAGTGCTCAGAAATGAGCTACTATTTTTTACA